CATTTGAAAACAAACCTTTCTCCAGTTGAATCACGGCGCTGAAGCGGCGCCGCCTGATGACGTCACACGCCACGCCAAAATAAAAGTCTTTTCTTGTTTAGCTTTTTTGCCACTTACTTTTGCAGTCATGACTTATTGATATATTTATCCCATGGTTTTTACTTTACACTATATCTGCTTTCTCTCACACAAACCTTAAATCTAAACATTTTCTTAACTTTTTTAATCCACTTATGATGACTTGTATGTCTGCAACACATTACTTCCTATCTGAGTTTTCCCAGAGATGGGTTTTGGCTGGAAGGGCATCCGCTGCGTAAAAACTTGCTGGATAAGTTGGTGGTTCATTCCGCTGTGGCGACCCCAGATTAATAAAGGGACTAAGCTGACAAGAAAATGAATAAATAATATCTGAGTCCAAATCTCATCCTTATAATTATAACCTCTTCTTTTTTATTTCTACAACATCATAGGCCTATAGAGTTTTCTTTTTTCCACATGAATTGTCGTCTCTTATTATCTGTGTTCCACGTTTCCTGCCATTCTTTAGCAATATCTTCAGTAATAATATTTAATTTACCTTTACTTACAGAAGCATTAAAGGGATAGTTCACATAAAAATCACAATTCTGTCATTTACTCATCCTTTACTTGAGCCAAACCTGTTTGAGTTTCGTCTGCTGAATGCAAATGAAGAGAATACGGAGGCAAAAACAGACATGGTTCAGCTGTTCTCATTTTGGACCTGGCTGCTTTTTTTAACATTTTCTTGCACACAAAATGTTCTTGGAACTCGATTACAATTGAACCACTAAAGTCACGTCACATGTTTTAAAAATGTTTTTGGTTCCTTTTCTGGACTTTGAGCATCTCTGGACTCTTGCTGTCTATGACAGATGAAGGAGCTCTCTGACTTCATCTAAAGTGTCTTCATTTGAGTTCTGAAGATGAGCAAAGTTCTCAGGGGATTAAACAACAGGTAGAAGGACAATCCTACACCTACGTGGGCAGGAACCAAAATGAAATATACAGATTTGCCCATCATTTTAATATAATATGTCTTACAGAGTATGTGAACTCTATTAATTACTGCAAAACATCAGAATGTTATTTCGCATTACGTCCATATAGGAGTGATTCAATCTTTCAACACTTAGTCTTAGTGGATAATATAAATTAAACAAAATTGTATTAATGTTTGATCAACTTCAAATACTGAAAGTCTTTGTATGTGAGAGAGATAGCAGATGTTGTGTGAGGTGGAAAATCTTTGTATGTGAGAGAGATAGCAGATGTTGTGTGAGGTGGAAAATGAAGGAGAAATGTATTATGTCATGACTGCAACAGTGAGTGGCAAAAAATACTGAAAAAAAAAAGACTTTGCCAACAGATTAAAAACAAATCTTGATTCTATTATTTCTGAAACTCAGTCTGGGTTTATAAAAGGCCGCCATGTTTCTAATAACATAACATTAGTTTTGGATTTGCTTGAATATGCTGATTCTATTCATTCAGATGGTCTTATTCTTTTTCTTGATTTTTATAAAGCCTTTGATACGGTTGACCTCCAGTTTCTGTTTAAAGCATTGAGGTTTTTTGGATTTGGGGAAACTTTTGTTAACACTATGGCAATGTTTTATAAAGGAATCAATAGTTCAGTGATTGTTCATTTTAATACTTCTAATGGATTTGATATTTTGTGTGGTATTAGGCAGGACTGTCCAATCTCTTCCTTTTCATTTTTATTAGTTTTTATTAGTTCTTAAGCATTGTGCAAAATCAAGATTTGAAAGAAATTTCTGTTTTTGAAAGGGAGATTAAGATTTCACAATTGGCAGATGACACCACTTTATTTCTAAAAGATGACTCAAATGTATCAAAGGCTTTAAATTTAATTTCTGACATGTCAAGTGTTTCTGGTCTAAAGCTGAATATCTCCAAATGTGAGATAATGCCTGTTCATAATTTGAGGTAGGAATATATAGAAGATATCCTTGTTAAATCCACAATGAAATGGTTATTTATTTATGTTATTAAAAATCTTTTAGTGAGACAGCACTTGAATTTTTTTTTTTTTTTTTTTTTGTCTAGGATCAGCAAAACTAAAAATATTCTTAATTCCTGGCTACAATGGGACCTGTCATTATATGGAAGAGGGTCTTTCTCATTTTGTATATCCGACTTTATCTTTATTTGTTGAAAACAAAGTGGCCAAAGAAATTAATACTGTTTTCTTGAAATTTATCTAGAAGAACAAACCTCTTAAATTAAAAAAGGAAGTTCTCTTTTTAATAGTAAAGCAGAGGGGGTGTAAATTTATTAGATTTTTCTGACACCATATACATTTTTAAAATTAGTTGGATAAAGAGATGCCTAACCAATCCAACGTCTTTTTTTTTTTATTCCCAACTACTTTTTTTTAACAAAATCTGTAGTCTTTTGTTTCTTCTTAAATTTAATTATCTTCCCTACAAGCTATCTTTAGCTTTGTCTAAATTCCACCAGCAATGTCTGCTTGCTTGGAAGCTTGGTTATGTTCACAATTTTCTCCTCACCGATTATTCTTATGGAATAACCGAGATATTACAATCAAAAACAAATAATTATTTTTCCAAAGTTGGTTTAAAAATAATATTAATTGGATCCTTTGGTAGGTTGTAAATGGTTCACGAAAGAATGTTTCCTGCATCATCAAACAAGCACTTTTTTCCAACTTCTCCTAATGAATTTAATAAAGTTGTTAAGGCAATATCACCCGGTTTAGTTCACCTAGTTAAAAGTCACTGTACATTTAACTGTAAATTTGCTTTTAGAAGGTGTTAGTCTATTAGATAAGAAACTTAACAATAGCTTTGCGCGTCAAATTTTACAATTTAAAAGGAAAATTTCTTCTAGAGGAAAGTTTTACTGGAGGTCTTTGGTTAAGGATATAGACTGGAATAGAACCTGGCTTTTACCTGGGTAATATTGCATTTTCAACGAGACAAAAGAAATACATTTTAAAATTTTTACATAAAATCTACCCTGTAAATTCTAGTATTTACAATTTTTTGGACATCGACAGCTTCTGTTCTTTCTGCAAACAAGCAGAGGAATTAATTAGGACCTGAACACCACGTGATAATTAGAGGCAGGTGTGTTTGATTTGCGTTGCAACTGAAATCTGCAGGAAGGTGGCTCTCCAGGAACAGGGTTGGCCACCCCTGCACTACTACATATGTTTTTGATTGTCCAATATCCAAGCAATTTTGGTTACTTCTAAATTCTCATATATCTGCTTCTGCCAATGCTGTGAATTGCTTTAATCTAAAAGACAATTTTTATTATAATAACCCAAAAGCTAAATATCTGGAACGCATCATACATTTTTTTATCTTATATGGCAAATTTTGCATTCACAAACAAAAATTCACAAATAATTACCCATCCTTTGTTCATTTTAGAATAGAATTTATTTCCCTCTTAAAATCACTTTATCTTATTAAGAATTAAAAAAATCTAAGATTCCTGAAATATTATCCAGATGTATTTAAAGAAGATTTTCAATTTTAGTTGCTTTCCTTACAGTTATTTGTTAATGTGTCATTCTAATTTCATTCGTTTAATTTAGCAATTTTATTATTATTATTTTTATTATTATCATTAATAATAATACTTTAATTGTATTAATATTTTTTCCTTTCTTTCTAATGGTATTATTTGTATTTGTATGTGGTTTTAGATATTTTTTCTTATGACAAAAAAAAGTGAATTAACTGGAGAAAGGTTTGTTTTAAAGCTTTTACACAGATATAAAGCGATTGATTAAAGTTTCAGGTTTTTCATCCAATGATGTACCTGCTGTTGACAATATTATTTTAACCCTTTATACAACGTAATACTATTTTACTCAAAGTAAAAAGAACTATTGAACAAGGTACGTGTATTAAGTGTCTTAATGAAGGTTTAATTGATTAAATAACATAATTTCACTTCATTCTAAGTATACATCACTTTATATAAGAAATGGAGTACTAGTTTTAATCAGCTCATTTGTGGCTGTTGTTTCTTGCTCGAACTTACTGGATTTATTTTTGTTAATTACTTTCATATAAAGAAACTGTTGAAGAGAAGTTATTTTGTTACTATTCATAGTTTAATTTATTTTAAACAGAACATTTTTATTGCTTTGTTAATTTTTAACAGGATAAAATGCCCAAACGCAGAGAAAAACTATATATAATAAGTCATGACTCATGACTAAGAGTAAGTGGCAAAAAAAGTTAAAAAAAAAAAAGACTTTTATTTTGGCGTGACTCGTGACGTCATAAGCCTGCGCCGCTCTCGCGCTGTGATTCAACTGGAGAAAGGTTTGTTTTAAAGCGTTTACCCTTATATAAAGCGATTGATTAAAGTTTCAGTGTTTTCATTCAGTGCTAAATTATGTACCTGTTGACAATATTATTTTAACCCTTATACAACGTAGTACTATTTACTAAAACTTACAGTAATGAGGTCTATTTTTTGAATAAAGATAGGATAAACTTTTTGTTCCGGAGAGGAAATTTGTCTTGTGCAAAAAAGTGCTATAAACAGACAATAAGATAAATAAAACAAACAAAACAATTAAGAAGATACTTGAATAAAGTAAAATTGTGTAATAAGTGTTTTAATGAAAGTTTAATTGATTGAATAGCGCAATGTCATTCCATTATAAATATACATCACTATATATAAGAAATGGAGTACTAGTTTTAATCTGCTGATCAGTGGCTATTGTTTCTTGATCAGACTTGTCTGATTTCTGTTTGTTAATGACTCTCATATAAAGAAACTGTTGAAGCAAGTGTTGAAGAGAAGTTATTTTGTTTCTGTTCATAGTTTTATTTATTTTAAACAGAACATTTTTATTGTTTCGTTCATTTTAAACAGGATAAAGTGTCCAAACACAGAGAAAAACTCCTGCTGAAGCGACTGATCTCCACACTGTTATAAAGATGGCGTTTATTAAAGAGGAGAGTGAAGATGTGAAGATTGAAGAAACATTCACAGTCAAACAGGAAGATCTGCAGGAACAAACAGGTTGATTTTCATTCTCAAAGACCAACTCAGTCATTTCATCCTCATTCAGATTAATAATAAGAATACTAAATTAAATCCATCTTAAAGCCCTGAGTGTGCTGCCTAGTTCTCTTATATGCACATTAGCACTCATTGAAAGAGGAATGAGTTTATTTCTTGTTACTTGTTCTCATGTTTTTTATCATTATTTTTATGTATTATTAGTCTCCTATTTTCTCTACCTTCTTAAAGGGTCACGAAACACCAAAAACACATTTTTTGAGCTGTTGACAGTCGTATATGTGTCCCACACTGCTAAAAACACTATTAGGACACCTATATTTCACTAAAAAGTGTAAATTGGTTGTTTTTGCGTTATTTCAAGCAAATTCGTACTTCCTGTTTGAAACGAATTTTTGAAGCTGCGTCACGGTCATGACATAATAGCGTGTATTCCAGCGTGCAGACTGGGCGTCTGTGCCAGAGTGTGTCTTATTACGTCTTACAGTGTGTTGCATTAATGCTTGAGTAAGGCTTGGTTCAAACCAATCAGCGCGCTCTATTCTGCAACTTCATTAATATTCATTAGTGTCACTGTTTACACCAGAGACGCCACGTTGTGTTGGCAAAACAAGCGTGGAGTGTTGCTTTTATAGCTTAAAGCTTTTATTAGCTTGTAGTCTTCTCTTCATAAAGACGCGGCTCTAGTTGCTGGTGATTGTTCTGTCTCTACAGATTTGGTAAGTGAGCGACCAGCGCTCTTTGTTTATTCAGTTTGTTTGTATCGAATTAAGTTAACTATTGCACTGAGTGCAAACTTGTTAGCACCGCATTTTGTGACCGGAATAACACACGCGGCTTTCTGACGCTACCTGCCGAGTGCATCTAAGTTTCCGGGAATTGCGGAGCTTTTTTTTCTCTCATTCGCCGTGCGGTATCAAACATTGCATGAAAAATACACGCTTAGAGCAGATCCTCGAATCAAATATCGCATTTGTCGCGAGGGGCATGAATGAATTCCCTGAATGAAAGAGCCAAACTGCAGTTAAAGTCCAACATTTAATAATCTGGCAAATAATTCAACTACAGATGTCCATGTAGGTTAAACACAATGACTGTAAAAAATACACCATCCCTTTCTCGTATAAGTATTTTGACTGAAACTCGCGCGTGCCCAAATAGACACTCTCACACCATCCCACTTTAATTCCTCCGACACTCCCCCCTAAACAGAGCTGGACACGCCCGCTTTTCTGACTTTTTCCGAAGTAGAGGTGTGAAAACACCCTGCTAAAACGAGGGGGTTTCATGGCCCTTTAAGGTTATTGCTTTTCTAGTTCTCCTTCTGTTTGTAAAGCATCATTGAGCACTGGCACAACAGGGGTGTTAGCTTGGCAGTAAACTTCCTAAAAACTCGGACGGGAAGCCATCAGGGCCTGGTGCTTTTCCGGTTTTCAATTTTGTGATTGCATTTTTAACTACACAAGGTGTTATATGTCCTTCTAATGCCAACTGATCTGAATCACAGAGGGATGGTAATTCTAAATAATTAAAAAAAGCTCTTAATATGTTCAATTTTGTTTACCTCAGAGCTGTAAAGAGTTTTATTGAAGTTTTTAAATTGATCATTAATTCCCTGTTGATCAGTAATAATACTGCCATCATCCTTACTAACTGCTGCTATAAAACCAGCTGCTGAGGAGTTTTTCAGTTGGTAACACAAAAACCTGCCAGCTCGTTCACCAAGTACACAATGAATCTGGCGTGATCTTATGTGGAGATTCTCTGCATTTTCATCTGTCAAGGAGTCATATTGCTCTTGCAGAAGTCTTTTCTTATGAAGCTCTTCGGAGGGTGATGTTGAGTGAAGCTTATTTGCACTAGCTTGATATGAAATAATCTGTCCTCTTATATATGCTTTCTGAGTATCCCATAGGATGCTATAACTTATCTCTGGGGATTCGTTTGTCTCAAGGAAGAAATCAATTTGAGCATTAATAAATTTTACAAAATCTTTGTCTGCCAAGAGTCTTGAGTTAAACCGCCATGTACGTTGGGGGATTACATTGCCTTGAAAATATAGCTTTAGTGAGACTGGACAATGGTCTGAATTAACAATACTACCATACTCTACTTCTGACATTAAGGGAAGTAACTGCTTGTCCAGGAGAAAATGGTCAGTCCTGGAATATGTTTGATGCACAGGTGAATAGAAGGAAAATTGCTTGGAAGGTGGATATTTAAATCTTCAGGGGTCACTTACACCATGTGTCTGAAGGAAGGAGTTGATACATTGTGCTGGCTGACTTAATGTATTACTCGAAGAGCTAGAGCGGTCCAAAATTTGGTGCAAAGCATAATTTATATCGCCTCCTAAAATAAAATTGTGTTTGTCGAGACTAGGCAAAATTGAAAATAAATCTCTGAAAAATTGTACATTGGCCAGGACTACAGACGTGTTAAAAAGTTAACCTTGGATTATTATGTATCTGCCATTTTTATCCAACACTTTTGAATCCATAACAAACTGTACATTCTTATGAATGAGTACAGCAATTCCCCTACTTTTGTTATTGAAGTTAGAATAATATATTTGTGTATAGCCTCCTCTATTAAGTTTAGAATAGTCGTTTTTCAACAGATGTGACTCCTGTAAATAAACATTATCAGATTTTAACTTTAAAATAAAAATTTGACATGGCAAGATGACTACTTCCAGATTTAAGCTTTAATAGCTTTGAAGTCCAACTACTTCATTTAGACTGGAACGGCCCACTATGCATAGACATAATCTATCGCCCACCTCACTCCACAAAAGATTTCATCAAGCACTTCATTGAACTGATCGGCAACATGACAATTTCTGACGATCGTTTCATACTAGTAGGCGATTTTAATATTCACATTTGCTGTCAATCAAACTCTTTTGCTCAAGATTTCATCAACCTGTCATCAACCTTCGGCATCACTCAATGGATACATAAAACCACACACGCCCTGGGCCACACACTGGATCTCCTTTTAGCATTAAGCTTTCCAACATTGTACTCTCCCAATTTTTAATTTCCGATTACATACCTATTCTATTTACGCCATCCCTCACGAAGATTGCATATTGCCTTTATACGCCTACCATGCTGTCAACAATCTACACATCCAATTTTAGCTCGAATTTTAACCAGCGCTTTACCGATTTCTACGTCAAATCGCGCCTAGATGACCCTTCATCAGAACTGGATGCAGAGCAACATCTGGATCTGCTGCACTCGGTCTGCCAAATAGCGGCTATCAAATCTGCACCCCTGAAATTATGCAGACAAAAAATAAAATCTGAACCTTGGAAAATGTTAGAGACACGTACTTTAAAACAAAAATATTGACAGGCTGAACATAAATGGAAAAAGGACAGACTTACCATGTCTCTTCAACTTTTCAGATCTGCTCTGTTTTCTGTTTTAGAAAAAAAATGTACTTAATCAATTACAAAGATTTCTATCCCAGAATAATATCGCTGAGCCTTTTCGATCTGGCTTTAGGCCGGCCCATAGCACTGAATCCGCTTTATTAGGAGTTTTGAATGACATCTATCTCCTCACTAATGCTGTTAATCACGTGGCCTTAATTTTGCTGGATTTATCCACAGCCTTCGATACTATTGACCACTCTGTGTTATTATCTCAGCTAGAGTCCTGGGTTGGGCTGAAGGGTACAGTGCTGAAATGATTTAAATCATACATCTCCGACAGGAAGTTTTTTGTCAAAATTGGTAACTTTTCCTCCTCCACGGCACCGTTAACGTGTGGTCTTCCCCAAGGCTCAATTCTAGCACCTTCACTATTCTCTCTTTATATGCTCCCTCTAGGTTCTATTTTCAGTAAACATGGCCTGCATTTTTATTTTTATGCAGACGATACACAAATCTATATGTCACTCAAAAAGGAAAATGAGTCCTCTGTTGTGAACTCCCTTTCACTATGCTTGGAAGAGGTAAAAGCATGGCTTTCTGAGAAATTTTTATTTCTAAATGTGGAGAAAACAGAAGTGATTTTATTTGAGCCCAATGATTTGTCTGACTGTAAACGCCCCAGGCTGGGTAACTTGGAGGAGTTCAGATCACCCCAGGTACGTAACCTGGGCATAACATAAGACCAGAACTTAAAATTTGATAAACATATCTCAAAAGTGGTGGGAAATAGTGTCTACCAACTCCACCTTCTTTCAAAAATGAAATCCTCTCTTCCTTCACACTCTCTAGAAATTGCCATACACGCACTTATAACCTCCCGGTTGGACTATTGCTACTCGCTCTATTTTGGGCTGCCTAAGTCTCAGATTGCTCGCCTACAGTTAGTTCAAAACGCAGCAGCTAGATTCTTAACAAAAATCCCAAAATATGCACACATCACTCCTATTCTGAGGTCTCTACATTGGCTACCGGTGACACAAAGAATCAAATTTAAAATCCTTTTCTTTGTGTATAAAGCCCTACATGGTCTAGGCCCTCATTATTTATCCCAACTGATTGTTAATTACACTCCTCCAAGACACTTGCTTTCCGCTAATCAGTTTTTATTAAAAGTTCCAAAGGTCCACATACACTTATAAACACAAAACAACACAATATTGAAACCTTGCATGTAAACTTGGACACACTTCCAGCTACTCCCACTCTTAACTAGCTGACATTTGTGGGACTAACATATAAAACAAAACAATTTGAACAGCTCTTGATGTTTTACTACAAAGCTACCTCATTATTGACTAAATATACTTGAGAACTAGGAATAACAACAACAAACATGCTATAGTGGTCATTTAAAACATAGCCGCAGAGTGACATTAACAGTTGTATTGTCTTTGACAGCCCAGTGCACTCTCATTATTTCCTTCAATTTAATGGCTTTTTCAAAATATAAAAAATTTCAGAAAAGTAGTGGCTTTTAATCACGAAGGTGCGTTGCGGTTCCTTTTCATCCACTGGTTTGCTGCTGAGAATGCTGTGTGCCCGGTCCAGAAGTGGGGTCTTCTCGAGGTTCACGGTATCTTTCAAGAGGCCAGCTACAAATTCCGTCACGCGTCTGCCGTGCTCCTGTCCTTTGTAACTCCTGTAATGTGGAAATTTGAGTGGCGAGACCTCTCCTTAAGATCCTTGCTTAGGTCTCTCAGCAGAGCCAGCTCCTTTTTCATGATTCTAAACTCTTTTTCCAGGGTAGTAAGAGAGTCAAAGTATCCACCCAACACAGACTCCAGACCAGACAGCTGCTTCCACTCTGGCGTTAATGTGCTCCACAGCATTGCATAACTCTGTCTGAAGCTGGTCAATTTGATTGCAAAGTTCATTTGACTGCGCTATGGCCTTTTCTTCAATTTAGCAATCAAATCACCTTTTAGTGCATCAAAAGCTTGAAGGACTGCACTGTTATCACTTGTCGGAGCCATCTCTTTTTTTTTTTTTTTTTTTAGATGCAGCTGGCACTTCAGGGTTAGCACTAGCATGGAGGCTATTAGCGGATTCCGCCTCCCTACGCTTGCTTCGGCCATTATTCATCCTGATTCAAGTTGAATTACCCTCAGAACAGCTAGACTCATACACTTTTATAAACACTTGTTTTCCAGTATAGGTTAGGTTTAATTTAGGATAAGAGCAATATTAAACGAAATTTCAAGTTTCACGTGAGGACCTCAACAGTTTGCGTTTTTACATGGTGTTGCTCCAACCAGAAGTCCAAAACAAACAATATAACAATAATCACAATGAAACACAAAACCCTCAGCACTTATAACTCAAATGAAAGTAAAGGAAAAAATGCAAATGATTTCAGGCCAGCAGATTCATCAGATTTGAATATGGGGAAAAATAATAATGATGATAATAGTACAGGGAGAAAACAAAACAAAAGAAATAAAAAGAGAATTTGGGCAAGGAAAACAAAAACTTTTGGTCAAGGGAAATGAGAGGGGAATGGTGAATGTGGAGGTGTGGATGTGAAGGTTGAGGGCGTCGACGAACCCAGCCGATGAGTAGCAGTCACGGGTGTCTAACAGGAAACTCTGACACTGTCGACTGCCGGATGAAGGCTTTCGGCAGCTGACTCCATGCCAGCGAGATAAATCGATAAGTTGATTTTGTTCAGGACACACTGCACTGAAGTTTTTGGTGACGCACTCATTCACAGACGTCACGAGCACTTCAGTAACAAAACTGCAGTTTTTGCTTTGTTGCTTCAATACATACTTTTGCTTTTTGTTTCTCACAGCTATTCGTTAAGTTTACACTGTTTGTCTCGATCTGGTTTCTCTACTCTTGTCCCTGCACTGCAACAGTTCAACTTCTCTTTATTCTACACACAACATAATGCTGCCCTCTTCAACTCTCCTCCTCTTTCTTTACACTCTTACCCATTTCCTTTTTGACTGTCATCACAGAAAACCCCAACAATCATAAATGCATGATTATATGCTGTCATGACTTTGCAGTCAAAAATTTTTGTTATAATAGAGGCCAATGGAGAAAAAAAAAACTGCCATGAATATAATGAAAAGGGAGTAAATTTGTCCAGAGTGTATTGTTTGTTTGTTTTTTCCAAATCATTTTCCCAGAATATGTCAAAATAAGATGTCCTCAAATATCAGTCCGTTTGCTGAAACTCAGAGAAAGTTTTGGCCAAATTAAGCATCAAAATCAACCCAGAATTGATGAAAAATGACCCAACGGCACACAAGGGGGGAAAGGTTCAAATTTCAGCCTTTATGCAGATGCTGTACAGATGTGTCTCATGTCTGTGAGGCAAATATTCTCAGCTGTTACCCCAGAACTTTTTTTTCTGATGCGTTCACCAGTCAGGCACGGAATAAACAAGTATTCCCTGTCTGCTTTACAAATTTTTGAAAAACATTTTGTTGTGATTAGGAATATATACGAATGAAAATTTACTGCTTTCTAATCTCTGTCTTATCAATATGACCAAAGTTATTTTTATGATCAATTATGTAAGAAATGCTGAAAACTGGACAGACACTGTTTAAATTTACTATAACTTCTATGTTAAGCGGCTTTGACATAATTTGCATTGCAAAAGCACAAGATAAAGATTAATTGAATTGCATCTGCTTAAATGTGTACACGTTAATGGACCAAACACAACATGATCTGATTTATTTTACATTTAATGTGCATCAAAATTACAGTGTGTGTAGCCAATATTTCCAGTGTCTTTTCACTTTTCAGCTTTTGATGAGAGTTTTTAAGAATTATTGTTAACTAATGTTTATTTATTTATTTCAGACCTAATTGAAGAGAATGAGGGCAGTAAAGAGGAGAAACATTATGTCAAAATTGAGGAAAAAACTCATTTACAGACTGATGATATTTTGAAAAGGAGAGACAAAAATTGTTTCACCTGCACTCAGTGTGGAAAGAGTTTTGGAAGAAAAGACAATCTTAAGATTCACATGAGGATCCACACTGGAGGGAAACCATTCACATGCACTCAGTGTGGAAGGAGTTTTGGAAGAAAAGACAATCTTAAGATTCACATGAGGATTCACACTGGAGAAAAACCATTCACATGCACTCAGTGTGGGAAGAGTTTCAACCAATCATCAAACTTTAATCAACACATGAGGATCCATACTGGAGAGAATCCATTCACATGCACTCAGTGTGGGAGGAGTTTTAACTGCTCATCACACCTTAATAAACACTTGAGGAGCCACACTGGGGAGAAACCATTCACATGCCCTCAGTGTGGGAAGGGTTTCAGCCAATCATCAAACCTTAATCAGCACATGAGGATCCACACTGGAGAGAAACCATTCACATGCACTCAGTGTGGGAGGAGTTTTAACTGCTCATCACACCTTAATAAACACTTGAGGATCCACACTAGAGAGAAACCACCACTTAAGCCGCGGTTACACTTGACCTTTCTCCCCATAGACTTCCATTCATACACACGTGAATGCGTCAAACCAGAAAGGTTAGTGCACCAAGTTTCGTAGTTTACTGCCTTGCAAAGTTCAAGCTTGGTGAACTCTGACCTGCAAAACCACATTACTTGACTATGTTAGACCAATCGAAGATCAAAACATGACCTCTCTGGGCAGAAATGTAAAATATGGACTAATTGCTCACTTTTTTAATGTCTAATCATCTTGGTTAATCCTGTCCCTTTTCGCAGCTCTGTACAACAGAATTTTGCATGCTCAAACTCTAGTGTGACCGCAGCTTCAGTGTGGGATGAGTTTCAGTAACTCATCAGACCTTAATAAACATATGAAGACCCACACTGGAGAGAAACCATTCACATGCACTCAGTGTGGGAAGAGTTTCAACCAATCAGCAAACCTTAATGAACACATGAAGATCCACACTGGTGAGAAAGAGTATATGTGCTTTGAATGTAAGAAGACTTTTCTTACAGCTGCAAAATTGAAACTGCACCAGCCAATCCACACTGGAGAGACCGTACAAGTGTTCACACTGTGACAAGGTTTAATCAGTAAACACATCTGAAAACACAAAAGAGGATTCACACAGGAGAGAAACCGTACAGATCTGATCAGTGTCTACAGAGTTTCGCTAATTCGACGCAGCTTTAGAAACACATGGACAAAAAGTTGCACACATGACATGAATGCAGCAAAACATTTTTTGATGTGCACAGGATGTTTCATGTCTGAATAATGATTGAAAAGGCTGAGTGACGGTATACAGTTTTCCAACACTCCTACACTTCAGTAGGTGGGGTTGCAAATGTGTCGCGTTTACCATAAATGATGATGGCGGCTGAAAGAAGAACAGCTTCATAAACATCTGGCAAACAGCACTTCTGCGGCTTGAAATCTCTTTGCAAGTGATTTTTACATGTGCAGATACATCTGTACTCTACTCTCTAGTGTGTTCATGTAGCTAGTGTTGTTTTGGATTATGTTCTCTATCTAACTCCCTGAACGAGAAATCCAGATTGGAGTATGTGGTAAATCCATTGGATCCAAAAGCATTGGATGCTGGCATTGCTCATCAATGGGTATATAAAAGTTGTTGTGCTAGCTACCCCAGGACCCTGTGGCTACTCGGGAGTCCTCATGTCAAGACCTACAATCTCATTAACTCTTTATCCTCATGGTTTTGATTTGCGTTACTTATATCATGTAGTTAAAGTGTTGTTGTGATTTATACCCTAAGTTTTTAGCTTCATTATTAATTATCCCTAGACATTTGTTGGTTGCTTTGATTGATTGTTCTATGAGTTACATTTATAATAAATAATTAGCATTCAAGCTATTTTATTGGCTCATCTCTCTTTTATGTTGTTACTCAAACAAGCGGTTCATAACACTTTGTAAAATGTTTCTGGTTGTATCCGAGATCTTGTCCTTTCAGCCATGACCATAGGTGTGAGCAGGAATTTTGATTGAGCGGTAAATTAAGAACATTGCCTTCGTCTCAGCTCCTTCACCCCAACAATCACATCAACTGCTTTATTGCTGCCGCTGCACTGATCCATCTTTTAATATCACATTCCATTCTTCATGAAAAATATAAAACGCAGATACTCCATTCGGGGTAAGGACTCTCCTACGGACTGGCGATGGCCACCTTTTTTCAGTCAAGCACCATGGTTTCAGTCTTACAGATGCTGTTTCTTTCCCTGCCATGTCACACTCAGCAGAAATAACCGTCAGATCTGTGCATCTCTGCATGATGGAGCTGTGTTAGCAATGTCCTCTTTGGAGGACAACTGATCATCTAGAATCACCCTAAGATTTCTTACTGAACTACATGGGGTAATGGTGTATGATCCCAGCTGGATTGCGAAATTGTATTGAATGTGTGGAGTTGCAGGGAAGGTGATGTAAGCAGATGAGTAAACAAAGTAAAAGTGGAACAGAGTGTTTCTGCTGCACTATTTACATCAAGAAGTAAGAACTGTGAGTGTGAGGGAAGAGAGGATTTAACAGTGGAGAAGTGTGTGGAGGGCAAACCAATTTTTACTAGTAGCAATTTACTTGTTGAAATCAACAATTGAATTTTTGATATCAACAATTAAACAGAACAGAACTACTAAAACTATGAATCCATCTCATCACCAACTCCGCCCCCTCAGGACAGCAGAACCGTTCGTATAAACAAAATCTCCCTGGACCATCAAATAAAGCAACTAAGAAAGGCAATAAAAAGCAATCCCACGGAACCGGACAAACTGCATCTACCTTGACATTCCAAAACATGGACAATCCACCGGATCATGATGCCACTATTGGACTTCCCACCCCCCTCCCTTGGCCTCCAGCTCTACTTATCCAGCCACCCCTTCCACTCTCAATCCTTCTCAATTCTCTCTCCCATCCTACCACCCTAACTCTTTAACCCAGCTTATTTTTACCCAGTCTTTTCTCTACAAATCCTAATGCTCTTCCTCTCCCTACTCCTTTCCCCTCTTCCAGTATCCCAACCTTTTTCTACTCTATATCCCTTCACCAAGCACCCAACTCCATTACTAACCCTCCCCAACAGTCTACCCTTCCCACTCACATTTCTTCCGCACGGCCCCCTTCACCCTTACCACAGCCACACCCCTTCTCATTCCGCATAATGCTCCAGTCCTGGAACCACCCCTGATCTCCAACGCCATCAAGAACCTCATCCTATCAGGTGCTGACATTGACCTTTCTACACTTCTTTTACCCATAGCACCTCCCTTGGCAGAAGAACAGGTGGATTGCTGTGAATTCACTATTACACTTAAATCACCCGTTAGCTCCCAACCCACACACTTTCATTAGCTGAATTTCACACAGCATTCGCACATTATACAGAAACCATCTGTTCAGTCCTTCCTTATAAGAGGCTATGGGGGAACACATTTTTCACACTTACCACAAATAATTTTTTTGCAAAATGCGCTATTCGCGTTACTCAGTGGAAGGAATGTCTCTACTGGGGGGCCTTGGATACAGATGTTTACAACGGAGTTTTTTTAGGATGCTGTAATCTTTCCTGCACGGTCTGCTGTTCAAATCTGCACACGACCACTTCCTGTCCCTTCTTAATCCCCTCCTCTGACAAAAAACTACAAACCCCAAGATCCAACAGCTACGTACCCCGCCCCTCTACCTCTGCTATCCCCGCTCTAAATCCTCCTCCTTTCTTTTCAAAACCCTCCTCTCTGTCTTGCAATAACTTTAATATAGCAAGATGCTTTTGCCATCTTTGCAATTACTTTTTACATGTTTGGGTAAAAAAAAATATTTTCTTTTGAGAAAGCGTAGCGATGCCTTAACAACCACCTAGCAACACCTTAGCGACCACGTTGGAACACCTTAGCAACCGTCTAGCAACACCTTAGCGGTTGCTAAGGTGTTGCTAGGCCGTTACTAAGGTGGTTGCTAAGGTGTTGATAGACGCTTGCTAAGGTGTTCCTAGGTGGCTGCTAAGGTGTTGCTAGGTGGTTGCTAAGGTGTTGCTAGGCGGTTGCTAAGGTGTTGTTTGAACTGTTCAAGGAAGTACCTAACCAGGTTATCAGCATAGTCACAGTAATGAGCACAGGTGGTTGGGGAAAGCATCAGATAGATACTAACCGACAGTGATTGTAAGTTGTTGTAAAGTGGTGTTGGAAGAATATCCTTCAGTACTACTGGACCAGTGTACAGAAGAAACTGCCTAAACTCAGTAGCTTTCCAGCGATCCAGTTCAGAGAGTGATTGTGGCTTTCGTGCAAATTCAGAGGGTATGTATTTTGACATTCCTACAAGACTCTCTGAGATGTTACTTATTATATGGAAGCTCTGTCTGTTTTTTAGGTTGCCCTTGGTCCAAAAATTGATCATCTTCCTTGTCACACCGAGGCAAACATCATGCATATAATCCAGCATGAATTGTGTGACCATTCCCAAACTTAATGTATTGAGTATAGAGTGACCTCTGTGGTGGTTGTCATCATGCATTTCTGTAAATGACTCATCTGTCCTGAGTGGGGCATGTGTTTCTGGGAATATAATTTTCCGTCCCATATAAGATCCTTCCTGCGTGCAACGATCGCAACCACTATAACCTCCATGCCCCTTTGTTTGTTTTATGAATGATCGTGCAGGAGCATCACAGATAAAGCAGTCCAGGGAAAGATGAAACAGCCTTTCAGCCACAGTGAAACCTTGTCCTAGTGCGGAAACCTCCTCTGCAAAATCTTGGGAGATATTGGTTAGGATTGCGAGGTTTGCTGTTTCCACAGAAGACACCAATGACAAACGGGTCCCTTTCAAAATAAATTTTTCCTAAAATTGGCCAAATTTGCTTCTGTGAGCTTTTGAATAATGGCAGTCCATCTATATTGACCTGCA